TCAGTCTTACGTGCGTCGTTCGTTTTTTTTTTTCGCCCAACCGATAAGGATCCACTATAAAATTGGAAACATTAGTATTAAATCATGTTCTATCCGTTCTTTATCATAAAATATTTTGATTTTTTTTCTAATTTTATTTATCGTATTTTTTTATTTAAAAATAAATTATAATAATTGAGATTATACCATACATGAAAAAAAATTATTTTTAAATTTTTATTTTAATAAAAAAATACAATAAATAAGATTTAAAATAAATCGAAATGTCTTACGTTAAGTATTGGAAAGAATATTTGATAAAAACATGTATGTGATCCCATTGAGAATATATAAAGTTTATAAATTTCGTTTTAGTTCATATCTATGCATCCGGAGTGTTGACAAAAGAAAGAGATATTAAAAATTGCCACTCGAATTTTCTCAATATAATTTAAGTTATAAAAAGAGAATTGAGTTTTGTTAGTCGCGTGAAAATATTTTATTCTTTGTAAAAGTTGAACTTATTTTATACCATTCTATTAACGAAAAAAAAATTTATGAACAAAAAAAAAAAAAAAGAATAAGAAGAAGAAGAATAATGAAAACAATATGTATACAATAATGATCCTGGTTCTAGAAGCATGGAACAAAACTATCTAAAACTCACATATACGTAAGACAATTAAATCTTGTGATGTAACGGGTTGATCCAAATATCCAATGATCCCAATTGTATAGCTAGCTCTCCTTGTGTTCATGGCTTCATGCTTCCATGGAACCAAGTCAAAAGTCTTTAATTAGTTATAATAATTAGTATTATGTATTTTAAACATCTCAATTCAATGGATGGCGACGTAAAAAGGAAAAGTGTCTTAATGCTAGTGTTTTCATAACACCCAGCCGAAAAACTAATTAAGCTGATTAAAATGGAGTATTTCTCTAATTAACTTTATCAACTGTTATATTGTGGATTGCGCATATAAATATACAAGAGTTTCCGTTAATAGTACACTATTCATTTACATCTATTTAGTACCCAACTTTAAACATGCAATTGGCGCACATAAACTAAGATATAATTTTATTTTATTTTTTGAAAAAAAGAAAGAAAGAAAGAAAAAGGCTAACTAAGAACGACATTATTCTCAATGCTGTATTTTAATTAACTTGGGGAATGGAATTTAAGTTGTTGCGTTGGTCCTCTTAATAAGGACAAATCGTTCATTTCATTTTTTTTTTTAATTTTTGAAATGGATTCCATTTTGTTGTTTAAGCTACCATGCATGTTCGAAACCGTCACTGCATGCTTAATTAGTTCAATGCTCCATCAATTGGATTTATTTGCCCAAAAAAAAAATTAATTAATTAACCCCAAGTATCAAAGGGATATGCGTATGCGGGATACTGTTATTCTGTTGTTGGTTTCAGCTAGTACGAAAAAAAAAAGAAAAAAGAATCACAGTCTTGAGCCAATATAGGTAGTTTTGTTTCCATATTAATGCTTATATTAATTAGTTGAACTTTTTAACGGTAATTTCGTCTCTCTTTAACGTGTGTTTTATTAACCTCATCTTCAAGCCTCCCGCGCTAGCTAAGCTACCAAAACCGTCGTCACAATCTTTGAATATCACCACATGACAACATACCGACTATAAGGATTAAGGAGGATGAGCAACATAATTCTATATTTTATCTATTAAAAAATAATTGTTCAGTTGAAAATTTAAATTTTTTATTACAATTTATGCTAAAAATAGTAATCTAAATTATCATTATTTCAAATTTAAGATAATACATTATTTACGAAGCAGTGAAAGATTTCTAATCCTGTACATCACTACATGTTATGAATTGTTTTTCTGGCGGTTGAATACATTCTTTTCGTTCTACTTACTAGGTGATGGAAAGAATTCAGGGCATTGTTTTTTTTTTAACAAAAAAAAACTAATAATTCGTGCAAGGTGATAAGGGGCTGGATTTGTTCCACGCGCAACCAGTGCAGAGCTTGATAGCGCCACATGGGCAGACGTCAAAGGAATCAAACTATCCATTTCATTCAATCGTGACTATGTGAGTCAGGAGAGAACTGAGAAGTGCGGAAACGGCAGTGTTTTCACCGTGATACCGGTCCTACACGTGACACCTGACCATTCTATATGGCTACAAACGTATCCCCACAACCGGCCCATTTACTCATACCCCACTCGCAGTGCTTAGGCGCGTGGTTCCGTGTCTCTCTTTTTCTAATTTTCGCTATTAACAATGGGAATTAGGTTTTTATTGAAAAAAAGTAAAAAAAAAGTCACAAATATAACGTCTAAAAATAATTTAAAAATTAAGGCTGGAAATTATTATATTTATTTAAGAGGATAAATTAACCCTAAATCTCTCTATACTAACAAATAATGTATGTTAAAAATTTATACAAAAATATACCGTCAAAGATAATAATGGGGTGCAAGCAAAATGTGACAATGAATGATATAATTGTGATATTATATATATATATATATGTGTGTGTGTGTGTATAAGTTAAAAAAAAAATGTACATAATAGATTTCTTATGTTCCATGTCAATTATAAATAGTGTAGTTTGGGACTTCACTTTTATGATTCATTAGTTAATTTTACTGTTCCTAGCCAGTAAATCTATCATCACTCCATGGTGATGTATATTCGACTTAACTTGGTTTTTTTTTTTTTTTGCGTGTTCCTAATATTTTTGATAATTAAATATATCTCTCAGAATAATAATATAATTTTTATTTCACAATAAATATTACTCAAAGTTAATACATTTAAACAAACTATTGAGTGATAGTTATTACAGTGTATCTTTATATTTATAAAATACTACTTTCTCTGCATCAAAATGATTATTTATTTTGAATTTTTGGTACAATTTAAAGTAAAACTAAAAATTTAAATTGGATAATTATTCCGATATGAAAAAGTATGTTAAGTCAGATTTAGTTTCAATAGAATCATAGAGAGTAAAATGAAACAAACTAACTCCCAGATGTTGTTTAGTAAAACCAAATGTATAAACAAAGTTTAGTGCAAATTTTGTTCAATGAAAAGGGAATAACTAGATTCAAATGTGAATCATTCTAAAATGAAGATTGAACTACTAGTAGCCTATTAAAAAACCAGTCCAAACTAATTACGACGACTACTATTATAATGACTTAACTCAGGTCATATGAGATTAGGCTAAATTGTAGCTGTAACGGTGCCCTCTTTCCCATATGTTGAGAGAGGCCGTTACGAACACAATCATCAGCATCATCTGTATTCCTTTTCCTTCTTAAACTTTGCTACCTCAAAGGCTCAAACTGACGATAAAACAACGTTTCAAAGTCGGCGACTTCGGTGTGGTTGTTGGATGGTGGTGGTGGGCTGTATTTACTATTTAACAATGTTGGAGGGACATTTTGAGCAATTCCGTCAGAATGATTCACCACCACTTTTTGAGGAATTCAGGTGAGAACCAAATAAACCTTTCTATTTACACTTGTGGCACGGGAAATCCAATCATTTTTAGTATGGATACTTTGATCCACGTCCTATTGCCAAGTTTACTACTTAAGTATTCTTATAATTATTACCTTTTGATTTTTATTTTATAATTATTACCTTTTGATTTTTATTTTAACTATACAATTGGATTCACCAATGACTAAACAAGTCTACCAAATCACTAATTTTATGCTTTGCCGCTCAAAATATCTATCTTTCATATTGAACAAATCAAGTATCAATTTGTATGAGCTAATAATTTTTTAATAAATGTCATTATATAATTCTTATAAACCCTACACTTAAACAGTTTATTTGTGTAACAAAATCCTCAACAACAACATGTGTGGAAAATATAATTCTAATTAAGTGCGCGGGTGATATAAAAATACCCGATGCGTTAATTTTCTTATTTTGTGTTGTCTCGGCAATAAAGATAATGGACTGTAGCACTTGATACCTTATCAAACATCATTAACGATTTCCACATCAGTAAAAAATTGTTGAATAATATTTTCAAATAAGCGAGTGGTGAAAAAAAAACCGAATTCGTCTTGACCGTTGAATATAAATAGAAAACAAATTAATGCGTTATTATTATTATTATTGTTATTTTGTTTTATATAGATTATATAAAACAAATTATTGAATTACAACATTCGACATTGTCTTACTTTGTTAATCACATCAATGATTTTCATGCTGATTAAGAAAATGTTGAGCAATACTTATAATTAAGCACACAATGAACGAAAAAAAAACCTGAATATGTTGTGCCATAATTATAAATGAAAACACATTAAGTATTGAGTTTTTTTTTTGTCAAGAACAAAAAAATAAATTGCATTACTCGACACATTTTAACTGTGAATAACAATTCGCACGTCAATGAAAAAACATTGTTACATATTAAGTGTGTGAGTGACGAATAAAAACCTAAATGTTTCATGTTCGTTGGACATAAATGGAAAACAATTCATTGCATCGGTTTTCTTATTTTGTTGCGTGTGTCGATAATGGAAAAAATTAACTGCACCGCTCAATACCCGCTAACCGTCTAAACTTTCAACTGTCATCAACGATTCTAACTTACGTATGTTAGTTAACCGTTTTCTTACTCCAATTTTTTCCAGATAAATCATAATTAATAATTACTTCAACGTCGATGCATGACTCTTATTTTATTTTATTTTATTTTTTATTACGATAGGATAAAATCGGCATTTAAGAGATATAAAATAAGGAAAACATTCACCACTTTATCAAGCAAACACATCTTCAAATGATTGTTTTCCAACACCACCCTTGTACACATTCTAGGGTTCAAAATTCTCTAATCTTCCTCCATATTCTAAAGCTTCTGTGTAATACTAATATTTAGTAAAACAATGATACCCACAATTGAAATACTGCTAAAAATGGAACCCCACCAGGAAATATCTACAATATCCAAAAGGGGAATATATAATATTGAAATGGCAAAAATATCCAAATTCAGGCAAGCGCACAAATCCACCTTTAGATCCTCTTCTTCTCAAATAAAAACCGTAACCCATGCGGCTACGCCCATTCGTAAGCAAAGTACTGTCTCCCTTTCCCAATCTCCCAATCTCAACCGTTAAACTCTTCATCCAACGGTTCCCGATACCTCTTCCTTACTCTTTATAATCCCTACCTTCCCCCCTTCTTCCTTCATATAGCACTGTTCACTGTTCTTCCTCTTCACTTTTCTCTCTCTCTCTCTCTCTCTGTAAACAAAACCCTCCGAAATATCTCTCTCTCTCTACAGAATGCCTAACTCACCACTGCTTCGCCGTCTCCGATCTCTCTTCCCCTGAGCAAACCCCACCGTGGAGTTCAATGTCGTACATCTGTTTATCCCTTTTGTAATTATTTGGATTTTTTTTTATTTCACGATTTTTGTAGTGACTAAGTTGCTGAAGCTAAACGAAAAGGGTCAATCTTGTTTAGTTAATTTAACTGTAATTAAGCTGAAAAAGTTGTTAATTCTGCGGTCTTTTGTGGAATATTTTTGTGGGTTTCGTTTACCTTTTTGGATATAGGAGCGTATAGGTAGAAACCGATACATATATATACATACATATTTGCTGTATGTATAGGTGATGATTACGGACAGCTATCCAAAGATGATGTCAGAAATTGGAATGCGATCGGTGATGAGAGGTGCGGCGGAGGAGTATCGGGACGAGCTGGAGATGTTGCTGAGGGAACAGCAGAGAAGGCAACAAGAGGCCAACGATATCGAGAGGGAGCTTAGCATTTTCAGAAGCGGCTCGGCTCCTCCGACTGTGGAAGGATCTTTGAGTGGCCTTTATGGTGTCAGTGGGGGCGCCGGCGGCGGCGCCGGTCGGAGCAGCGGTCTCTCTGAGGAGGAGATTAGGTCTGATCCGGCATATATTAAGTACTATTATTCAAATGTGAACATGAACCCGCGTCTCCCTCCTCCTTTGCTCTCCAAGGAGGACTGGCGGTTCGCACAGCGTTTGCAAGGCGGAGGTGACGGGGTCAGCGGGGCCGCCGGTGGTGGTGGGGTTAGCGGTTTGCCGGCTGTTGGTGATAGGAGGAAAGTGATTGGACCAGGTGGTGATGGAGAAATTGGCGAGAGTTCACTGTTCTCGGTGCAGCCGGGTTTTGGTGGGAAGCAGGCAGATAATGTGGTGGAGTCTCGGAAAGAATGGGGTGGTGACGGACTCATAGGGTTACAAGGAATGGGATTGACCAGGCGACAAAAGAGCTTTGCTGAAATTATTCAGGTGAATATATTTACTTACCTGCTCTTGTTCCGTTTCAAAGATGTAAATTTGTGAACTGTTGTTTCAAAGATGTAAACTTGTGAACTGTTGTTTTTCCCGAGCTTTGCTGATTGTTTGTATTTGTGTAGCATGTGCTTGGCAATATGTCAAAAATTTGTTTACCCTTTTTTATGCTTACCTTTCAAGAGTGAGTGTGTGTGTGTTGCAGTTTAGGTTTCATTGGAGTTGTTAATTTTATCTTAATATGGTGTTGGATGGAGTTTACTGATCTTTATAGTGTTCAAAACCTTTGATGTTTATAAGTACATTTGCATGCTTGAAGATGAGTATTCATGGATCTCTGAAGGAGTTGTCGTCATACAACAGTTTGAAATGCTATTGCAGAAAGTTTGTGGTGCTAGTGGCATCAATGTTTGTGTTGAATAGCTACCGTATTTTGGGTACTTATCGAGTTGCAAATTTAGAATGTTTTGTATTCTTGTTTCTGCTGTGGTGTGCCATGATTCAAGGACAGTATTCCTTTGCAATAAGGTGATATATCTGACTGCATGTTTCCTGTGATGGGATGTCAAGTCTTGTATACAAGTTGCCAAGATTATGGAATAACTCCTTTTTAGCCTCTCTACAATTTTTGGAATGTCTGTCGAGTCGGCATAGACGTCTTTCTAGAAATTCTTTTGCTTAGTACCGCTGCTGTTGTCTTTCACCATTAAGAGTGTTGGATTAAAATCTTCCTCCCTGAGACTTGAACTATTTATGTATCATTTTTCTGACTAATTCCATTCTCCTGAATTTATAACTATTTTCTGCTTGTGGGCTCTGTTCTTTTTATACTTCTGTGGACAACTATTTCTCCTCTATCCAAAAATCAATATAATTATCTGTAATTCTGAGGATGTGTTTTTGTTCTTATCTGTTCTTTGTTTGTTTTATGTTGATTATGGTTTTATGTTTACTTGAGGCTTTATTACTTTTGTAGGATGATGGAAATCAATCAATTTCAGTTTCTGGTCATCCATCTCGTCCAGCTAGCCGGGCATTTGATGACATTCTTGATACTTCTGATCCTCAATTTACCCATCTGGAGCAAGAGTTGACAGTAGACTCATTATACTCGGGTTCAAATAGTCCGGGAATTTCTGTCCACCAAAATGTTGATTCATCAGCTTCTCAAAGTTATGCCTCTGCTTTAGGCGCCTCATTGTCAAGAAGTACCACTCCTGACCCCCAGCTTATAGCAAAAACGCCTAGTCCTCGCATTCCTCCCGTTGGTGGGGGCAGGGTGTCTTCACTTGACAAGAGAAATTTGAACGCGCTGAAGTCATCTACTGATGCTTTGTCAAATATAGATGTGCCTACAGAACTCGCTTCTGCTTTTTCAGGCATGAATTTAGCAGCAAATCCTATGTTACATGATGGGAAGCATTTAGCATCTCAGGCTCGACATGAAAAACTTTACAGTTTGGAAAACGATCAGAATTCTGTCAATCATAGGTCACTTTCAAATAGCCCTGGATCAAGGCAGTTTCACAAGTCTTCTTTACCCTGTGTTGACTCATACTTTAAGGGACCCTCTATATTAACTAATAACAGGGGAGTCAGTTCCCCATCCCAGTATCCAAGTATTGATAGCCCAAATTCCTCACTCTCAAATTATGGCTTCAGTGGTGCAATGAATACTGGATCGCCCACCACGGGGAACCAATTTGGTGGTGGTAATTTGTCACCTTTGCTTGATGACATTGCTGCTGCAAGGGCAATGGGTATTGACTCCAGAACAATGGCTGGTGGGCTTACTTTGGGGCCCAATTTATTGGCTGCTGCTGCGGAATTACAGAACCTTAGTAGATTTGGTAATCAAAATTCTGCGAGTGGTCTACAAATGCCTCTGGATCCTTTGTATCTTCAATATATGAGATCAAACGAGTATCCTGCTGGATATTCTGCAGCTCTAAATGATGCTATCTTTGATAGGGATTCTGGTAACTCGTTCATGGAGCTGTTGGAGCTGCAGAAATCTCAACTTGAGACATTGCTCTTGCATCAGAAGTCGCAGTATGGTCTTTCTTATAATGGAAAACCTAACAGTTCAAATCATGGTTATTATGGTAATCCTGGGTATGGTCTTGGTATGCCATATAATGGAAACCCACTGGTAGGCCAGCTCCTTCCAAATTCGCCAGTTGGGATGAGCAGCCCGATGAGGCATGGTGAACGGAACATGCGCTTTCCATCAGGAATGAGGAACTTCAACGGAAATATTCCAGGGTCCTGGAATCTGGACCTTGGCAGTAGCTTGGAAGAAAGTTTTCCGTTGTCCTTGCTAGATCAGTTCAAGAGCAATAAAACAAAGTGTTTTGAGCTCTCTGAGATTGCTGGTCATGTTGTTGAGTTCAGGTATAAAATTGGGCACCGGTCTTTGTTACGTTTTGCTTTATATTATAAGCATTTGCCTTGATATTATCGCTTATAGAAAACCTTGTTTGGGCAGTTTGTGATTGATTTTCCCCCTTTTTTGTGTGGGTGTTCCATGCTGATTTTTCCAACTTAATTGCAAACTTTTTTTGAGCAGTGCGGATCAGTATGGTAGCCGTTTTATCCAGCAGAAGCTTGAAACAGCTACCACTCCGGAGAAGGACATGGTTTTCCATGAGATAACGCCTCAGGCTCTTTCCCTGATGACTGATGTGTTTGGAAATTATGTAATCCAGAAGGTAAAGTTGTTACGTTTCTATCATGACCTCCATAAATATTTATTGGTATACATGTTAAATGTTTGATTGTCTGTGCTATCTTTCCAGTTTTTTGAACATGGCAGTCCGGCTCAGATTAGAGAACTGGCTGAACAGCTAACTGGCCATGTTTTGGCCCTTAGCCTTCAAATGTATGGCTGCCGAGTGATACAGAAGGTATGAATGTTCGATTGAAGTTTTAATTTTTTCTTCAAAATGTGTTAGTTTTCCTATTTCGTGTTGCAAGTTTTCCCTCCATGCCCTTATCTTATTACAGTTTTCTACTAATTTCCGTTCCTACTGTTCCCCGAGCATCAGTTAAAACTTTCAAATCTGCCTATTATCCTCTATTAAGTGGGTGGAAGACATTTATTATTTTGTTCAGTCTCTTCTTAACTGCACACAACTGCATTGTGCATCTTATTACACTCCTTGAACTGCAAAGCAGTTTTATTTTGGCAATATTGCTAAAACGGTTGATTTTTTGTGTGCCATTTATGAACTGAATGTCTCTTTTAGATATATAATATTTAATTGTCTATTTATATTAAATGGCTTCATAGACGAGGCAAGTCTCTTTTTGGCATCATTGTATGACGATTTTGCTTCCTTCCCATCCCCCTTCCCTTCTTTCCTTCAGGCAATAGAGATTGTTGAGCTGGATCAACAAAAGAAAATGGTAGTTGAGCTTGATGGCCATATTATGCGTTGTGTGCGTGATCAGAATGGGAATCACGTCATCCAGAAATGTATTGAATGCGTTCCTGAAGATGCTATTCAATTCATAATCTCAACATTTTATGATCAAGTTGTGACATTGTCTACTCATCCCTATGGTTGTCGGGTTATACAGGTTATACTTAAACTCCCTCTTTTTTTTTACTGTAGATGCAAAATTCATGTGTCTAGTTGTGCAATGATGAATGGCAATACATGCTATGATCTGAGATAATTTTGTTACTGCTGCAGCGAGTCTTAGAGCATTGCCATGACCCCAAAACACAGAGCATTGTAATGGATGAAATTATGGGATCTGTCTGCATGCTAGCACAAGATCAATATGGAAACTATGTTGTCCAGGTTTGCACTTTTACTTAATCTTGGAATGGCAAAAGTCATTTTTAAGTTTATAGGATGGGCACATAGGTGACCCTAACATACGGATAAGATACACAGATGGTTTTTTCATGATAATACCCTTTCTCCCTTCTCAAACACTAGTTTTTTTGTGTCCTACATTTTATCACCATTTAACTAATTTCCTGCAAGCATATGTTAAATGTTTTTCTCTCCATTTCTCCGTCTGAATAAATGGTCTTTACTCTGCTTAGCTGTGATTATAACTCATCTTCATGTGACAGCATGTGCTGGAACATGGAAAGCCAGAGGAACGTACGTTGATAATTAGTAAACTAATGGAGCAGATCGTCCAGATGAGCCAGCAGAAATTCGCCTCAAATGTGGTGGAGAAATGCTTAACTTTTGGAACCCCTGAGGAGCGCCAGACCTTGGTGAATGAGATGCTTGGCACCTCAGATGAAAATGAGCCCCTTCAGGTTACTTGCTCATAACTAAGTTTGGTCTCTGTATGTGTAAATTATTAGCAGTTGCCCTTTTAGTTGGTTTTGGTGGAAACGAAATGAGCAGTGGGGTGAATCTGTCCTTTAACAAAATGATCAATGGTGTGAATCGGTTAATTATGAGCAATAAGAGGATCTACTTCTTAATCACTGTCACTGCTGTATGATGAAATTTGTCAAAAAGAATTAATTAAAAAGTCTGTTTCCAAGTTCCTGTCTAGCACTGAGTGTTAGAATAACAGAAAGTGTTGCTCCATTCTCTCTACGTAGATATTCTTGCAATTGCCATTAGCTTTCTATTTTGTAATCTTGATTTTTGTTAATTCACTGTGAGCCTTAGAAGGGGGTTCCTGGTTTAAGTCGACCCGTTAATGTTCTTTAACTTGTAACGTAACTTGCAGGTGATGATGAAAGACCAGTTCGCAAACTATGTTGTACAGAAAGTGTTGGAGACTTGTGATGACCAGCAACTTGAACTGATTCTTAATCGAATAAAAGTTCATCTGAATGCTCTGAAGAAATACACATATGGGAAGCATATAGTTGCGCGTGTGGAGAAACTTGTTGCCGCTGGAGGTAAAGACTAATTCATCAATTCCTTGATTATATCTTTTTTTTTTTATAATAATAGCTCGTGATTTGTTGACATTTAAACTTGGTCGGAGACTTCTGTGTTGCTTTACTGTATCTGTCTGAATGATTCATCTTTTGAGTCTCTGTTGTTTTACTCTCTGAATAATATCACTTTACAAATGATATGTTGTGTTTGCAGAGAAGAGGATAGGGATCTTGTCCTCCTATTCTGCTGCCGCTTAGATGGCGTAGGAAGGATATTGTACAGCTAACAAGAGGCTTAGGGAGCGTGCCTAGCTTAATTTGCATGCCTGGCTTTGGTTCCGTCGATTAATAGTGATGGATGGAGCTTTGAAAAAATAAATATGTTGGTTGTACTTTAAGAATGTACATTGTTAGTTTGAATATATACCTAGAAATCAGGTTAGGTGAGGCTCAGATGGATGAACGAACCTGATGCCCGTGCAGAGATGATAAACTACTGTACAAGATAAAGGATGTAAAGAGGAAGGACAGGGTAGTAAAAGTGATCGTGACTGTACAAATGTTGCCATGTGCAGAGCCTGTAATGGTTTTAGGAGGCCAGAATTGTCTAATGTATGAACTGAGCATTTTCCTTTCAAAGAAACTTTTTCATAAGTCTGGATTTTTAATTTGCCTATTTCTTACTGTCTGGTTTTGAATATTGATTGCTTACTTCCAAAATGTTGCAAGTAACACGTAAATCCATTATGTCTGATCAGTATCAAGATGCATTCCATCATTTCATGCATTCATCAAGTTGAATATTGCATTACAGGGGTTCTTCATGCACGGAGCAAATTTAGAAATCAAACTAGAGTTTTACTTCTGGGATATCAGACCGGAAATGTCAATTATCACTAAGAAAGTAACAGTATGTCAAAGCCACAGTTATTATTGATGCAGGTACGATCTATTTATGCCTTGGAAGGGCAAAATGTCAGCACATACCGCAGTGCTCTGCACTTGTTAAGTGAAGTGGAATCATCATAAGCATAAGAATACGCCCGGGGACAAAGAGCCTTGAACACTCTTGCAGCAATTGACGGTTTGCAGTTTTGGGTGTTGCTATAGACACTGGTGCAGCAGTATTCAGGCGCTTTCGTGGCCAGACAATCACTCTGGCATCCCAACACTTTGTTATCTTGTTGAATCGCCAAGTATGCCGGACAGGCGGCGTTCAAATCTTCCTCGCAGGCAGCAGTGCCACAGCTATGATCACCGCCACAGGGATAGTCAACCGGAACCATAGAAATGGGAAGGTTGAAACCATCAACCAGACTCACATCATAGTAATGCACCGGATTCTGCAGAGTCCCTAACGTCATTTGTACTAATGTGGCGGGAGGTTCGCCTCCAGCACCTCGGCACTCCAGGCGACCACCGCAATCTCCAGTTTGACACGAACCGACTCCATTGTTGTCGAAAGAACATCCTCGCCTTCCCCAGATTCGCCCAGACCAGTGTTGGGGTGTCTCAATGAGAACTTGTTGGGCACGAGAGAGATGGAATCCGCCATTGTTAGGAGTTGCGTAGCCTTGGTGGGCTAGAATTCCTGGCCATATGCTCTCGCTGCAGTTGTTCACCAGAAAAAGTTGAGTTCCATCTGCAGCCAAAAAGCATGTTTCTCAGAGTGATCATTTGTGTATTCCTCATATTGCATTGTTAGCATCTTGAATAACAACAACTTAGAAACACATTAAACGAGAGTTCAGATCATTACATGAATAAGAAGAGATTAGTGTTAAAAGGCAGAGTGTAAAAAAGCAGATGGATAATCGCAACGCCATTTCTTTCAAGCACTGAACTATTTTACTTGATGAAGTTTAGATAAACACTGCAAAAAACTGTAACATCATGGTAACCCAACGCAAATATTGCGCGGTTTGACAACTGAAAACAGTTTTCTTTTCGTTTTCCCCTTTTTATGGTGTTATTACCATTCTGGACTGGAGCGGTGGCCTTATTTACTGCATGCTTAGTTGTGGCAGGGAGAAGAGACAAAGTAGGATTATCAGTCCATTTGTTTGGGGTAAAAAAACTGAACTCAACGTCCAGAGCATTTTTCGAAGCCCGTAAACTTTTGACATCCAAAATCGGCCCACTAAATACTTGGCCCTATTAGCTATTACTAAACCCGGATTGATAAACGAAGCCCGGGCCCCAAGTTCCCGACCGCTAATGTGACCGGTCCATCCGGTTATCCAATCGATTTTTTGCCCTAATATAAATATTTTGTTCGTCAAAACGACCAAACCAAACCCTTCCGGAATCCGGCTTCCTTTCCCGACTCCGGCTCATTCTGTGGAAAAATCATAACCAAGTAAGCCCATCTCTTTGCTCTGTTCTTCCTGTAACGTTAATTAATTATTATTTGGTCATCCTTCATCTCATTGCATTTCCCCCCTTCTATTCATTTCAAATTGTGAATGTATTGTTGATGTAATTTTGCCATGTTTTTGAGAGCTAAAAAAGGGATGATTTGATTTTTACTGCAATAGCAGATGGTTCCGTTTTGAATTTGAGGTGATAAAAGGTGAAAATTGAAAAAGGGGTGTGATTGAGACTAAATGGAAAAGGAAACGGATTCAAGTTTGGAGCCAGTACCCGTGACTGTGAATTCACAGAAACATGACCCCGCATGGAAACACTGTGAAATGTATAAAAATGGAGTTAGGTTTGAGCTCAAGTGCAATTATTGTGGCAAGGTGTTTAAGGGTGGAGGGATACACAGGATCAAGGAACACTTGGCTGGGCAAAAGGGTAATGCCTCTAGTTGCTTGAGAGTTCCACCTGATGTTAGGCTTTCAATGCAAGAGAGTTTGCGTGGGGTTGTTATGAAGAAGCGAAAGAAGCGAAAAGTTGCTGAAGAAGTGACCACTATTGACAACGTGGTATTAGGTGGTAGTGTAAGTGATGTTGATGCTTTAGCAATTGATACTAGTAACTATGATAACTGTGACATCAACACCCAAGTTAACTTGGATGCTGTTGGACAGGATTGCGACGTGTTTGAGAGTGGGGAAGTTGTGGTGGGAAACAAAGCAAATGTTAGGAAGAAGAAAGGGAGAGTCCGAAAGGCAGATGGCTTTGTGGATCCAAATGCAACAAGCCTTGCCGCTTGTAATAATACAGCTTTAGTTATGAAAAAGGCTAATAGTCACGTGCATATGGCAATTGGGCGGTTTTTCTTTGATGTTGGGGTGCCCTTTGATGCTGTAAACTCTGTTTATTTCCAGCCTATGATTGATGCGATTTCTTCCCAAGTAGATCGTGTTGTTGGCCCGTCTTACAATGACCTTAGGAGCTGGATTTTGAAGAATGCAGTTCAAGAAGTTAGACATGACGTTGACCAGCGCACAGGTTGTTGGGGAAAGAGCGGATGTTCTCTATTGGTTGATGAATGGGTATCAGACCGTGGTAGGACTTTTGCATCCTTCTCGATATATAGTTCTCAAGGGACTACATTTTTTAGGTCTGTGGACATATCGGACATAATAGAAGACTCCGAGGATTCTCTTTTTGAACTGCTTAAGGAGGTGGTGGAGGAAGTTGGTGTACGAAATGTGTTGCAAGTGATTACCACCTGTGAAGATCGATATATCAGTGCTGGTAAAAGAATTAGTGATGCTTATCCAACTATTTTCTGGACTCCTTGCGCTGCTCACTGTGTAGATTTGATTCTTCAGGATATTAGCAAACTGGATTGGGTAAAAATAGTACTCGAACAAGCTAAAAAGATATCGAGATTCATTTATAATAACAATGCTGTTTTAAACATGATGAGGCGGTACACTTTCGGAGTTGACTTAGTTGATTTGGGGGTAACTCGCTCTGCTACAGATTTCATGACTTTGAAGAGGCTGGTTAACATAAGACACAACTTGATAAACATGGTTACTTCGGAGGAGTGGATGGAGAGCCAGACTACAAAGAAACCAGACGGTTGCCAGGTCAGTGAATACATAAATGATCAATCATATTGGTCCACTTGTATCTTACTTGTCCGATTAGTTGAACCCTTACTGCGACTTTTGAGGATGGTGGCAAGCGAGAAGAGACCTGGTATGGCATATGCTTATGCTGGAGTTTATCGATCCAAAGAAATATTTAAGAAAGAATTCCCTGATAAGAAGGTTTATTCCATTTATTGGGATATAATAGATCAGAGATGGGAACAACTTCGCAGCCATCCTCTTCTGGCTGCTGGCTTTTACCTAAACCCCAAGTTCTTTAACTGTACTCCGAATGATATACTTCTTCGTATCAGATCCCAACTATTTGATTGTGTTGAGAAATTGGTTCCTGATCCAAATGTTCAAGGTAAAATCGCAAAAGAGGTAACCTCCTCCTATCAAGAAGGTGCCGGGGACTTTGGGCGAAAGATGGCTGTTAGAGCTAGAGATACGCTGGTTCCAGGTAATACCCTTTTGATAACAAATGGCATCTCTCATTCCCTTTTTCTTTTAATCGGAACTCAACCTAGTTAATCCTATGACATTGTTTGTGGTTACACATTACTTGTATAAACTAATCTGATTTCTCTTTCCTTTCCAATCTCCACCAATATGTATATTGCCTTGCGTTGATCGTTTTATATTTTCCAATGTTCAAGTTCAAGACATGAAAGTCATTCGTCATATTTTTCACCTTTCGTAGCTGAAAACTCTATGTGCATGTTATAGATTGACAGATACATTTCCCTATTAAGGATCTCTATTTGGATTTCAGCTTATGCTTTGAAACTTAATGAGTTTTGAACCCCAAATTTTGTTGTTTCTTTGCTCACGTGCTGGTTATTTGATTATGCAGCGGAATGGTGGTCAACTTATGGTGGGAGTTGCCCTAATCTGGCACGTTTAGCTATGCGCATTCTGAGTCAAACTTGCAGTTTGATCGGTGGTAAGAGAAGCCGAATGGTTGTTGAAAAGATGCATGAAACTGAAAACCGCTTGGAGCGGCAGAGGCTTAGTGACCTTGTCTTTGTTCAAACTAACCTGCGGCTGAAGCAAATGTAAGTAGTAGAAAGATCATATTCACCTTTAACTGCAATACGGAAATAGAGAGTGATGGGGAAAAAGAGAAGTGGAAATGATTTTTAAGGTGATCATTATCTGATGATTTACAGGCCACAGGGGAACAAAGAACAGGATATTTTAGACCCCATCTCCCATGAACACATTTCCCTTGCAGAGGACTGGGTAATTGGGAAGCCCTTGTGCCCAGAAGACATGGAAAGTTCAGACTGGATGACTGTTGACCCACCTTTGGGCAACATAATGCTTTTAGGGTTGCCAATTGATGATGTTGACGCCCTGGGTACAGGTAAATGACGGTGGTGTTGTTGTAGCAGATACATTGACTTATCAATATTCTTGGCACGCCTAACATCATTCACTAATGGCAGGGTTCGATGACTATGAAATTTTTACTGGGGAAGAAGAGACTGAAGCTCCTCTAGGGGAAAATGAAGGATTAAGTTCTCAAAATGGCAGTAAATAGCGCTATTCTATTGACGGCTTTATATGAGCAAATCGTGTTGATAAAAAAAAAAAAACGCCCGAGTCTCTCAGTTGGGTTACGTTGATGTAATATAATTTTGAATTTGTATTTAGAATTATATACCTTGGTGGCTTGGTGGATGTTGTGTTTCACGAAACATGGTAGCCATAACAATGAAAAGCACTTTATGCTGTATAGATCTCCCTGAGGAAGAGATCTCAGCAGACTGGAATCCGTAAGGATTAATGTAACTATAGGTATCAAACTTTGAGGCCTCAGTTCCCATAGATTGCACCTTGTTGCATGAATGTCTTTTAAACTTGTACTTCTAGAATTTTTTTCTCTCAGTTTCCTTGAGTTGTCCCGACATCTTTCTTCTTGCACTGTGCTTCTGTGTATTATCTCTACATCTAAATCTCTCCGGTTCGGAATTTTTTTTAGCCGGAGACTGTTGTATCCTTCCAAATCCAACTAGCACAACTAAACACGGAAAGAGAGGATCCATTCGTATTGGAGAGATTTATTCAAACGCTCTATATTAGAAAGATCTACTGATTCTCTAATATACATATGTCCAAGATAGTGAGTTTGAAGATCTAAAACTCCATAAGGCCTTGCATTCCTAAACATTCAAACCTAAACTTAATAGCCCTAATGGATTAATCTAGACAAAGTAGAATTCGCAAATGTGAAGAAACAAGCCTCCAAGCAAAAGGCCTTTGGATCATCTCACTGGTAAACTGCTGCCAATAACCGATGAAAGTGGAGATGCCGGATTAGCTTCAGATGACCATGCGGTTAACTTCCCAAAATTTGCTGATGTCGGGTATGAATGCACAAAATCGTCAAAATCACCACTCTTTTTCCCACCATGCTCATCAGGCGCCAGCACAATGTCCGGCACCGCGGCTTCCTCTTCTAAGTATCTAACCACCTGCCTGATCGTCGGCCTCTTATCCGCAGCATTGTTGGAGCACATCAGCCCTAATTTAAGCACAATCACCACCTCAACCTCATCATAATGACCAACTAACTTTGGGTCTACAACCTCAAAAATAGTTCCTTTCTTCCATCTGTCCCAAACCCAATCCACCAAAACTAACTCTTCAGGCAATGCTTTTGCCTCGATTGGCCTCCTTCCACAAACAACTTCCAACATCAAAGCACCAAATGCAAACACATCAGAACTTGGGGTAGGCTTTCCTGTCTTGGTAAGCTCAGGGGCTAAATAACCCAATGTCCCAACAACTCTTGTTGTACTTGGATTCGAACCATGCTCATATAATTTAGCAAGTCCAAAGTCCCCAAGCCTTCCATTCATCTCAGAATCCAACAACACATTGCCAGCTTTAATGTCTCTGTGAATCACAGTTTGTTCCCATTCTTCATGAAGATAAAGCAGCCCTGAAGCCACACCTTTGATGATCTTGAACCTCTGTTCCCAAGTCAATATCGTGTCTGGTTGATCAAAAAGGCATTTATCTAAGCTTCCATTAGGCATGAAGTCATAAACAAGCAGCAAATCGCCTCTTCTCCTGCACCAACCCAGTAATTGGACCAAGTTTCTATGCCTAAGTCGGCCTATACTGGAAATTTCCGAAACGAATTCGTGCAAACCCTGCCGTGATTCATGGTTAATTCTCTTAACTGCAACTTGAGTGTTGGAATTGGGCAGAGTTCCTTTGTAAACCCGGCCGAATCCGCCAAATCCCAGAAGCTCTTTATCTCGAAAACCTTTGGTGGCTTGCTTGAGCTCTTTGTACGAGTATCTATGCGGGCCAACATGACGTTCCCAGTCTTCAATTACATCCATATTCTTGATTCTGTTCACCATGTACAAAGCAAACAGAACTGCGAGAACCAGAAAAATTACAGCAGATATGGATGCACCCAAAATCATTCCTTCATGATTCTTTGGAGATGAAGGAAGTGAAGGCATGTCAGATAGATCTAACGATTGAGCTTGCCCATTCATCTTAAAGCTCCAACCAGAAACATAATGTGAGGAAGAAAGCAAACCAGTGGAAGCAGAGAAACCCACATACATATAATCCTCAAAAAAAGGTGACAAATCCACATGAAAGGAGAGGACTGAATTAATGGGTTTTCTTGAAGACAATGAAAGAGTAACATTGAGAACATTTACTGTGGAATCATAGTCAACCCAGGCCTGAATCGTCTTCCCACACTTGAGATTCAGGGGTTGCAGAGTTGAATTGCCATCAGTAAAGTAAGCAGCACTGACATTGGCCTTTGAATCCAAACTGTTGATGTCGATCCCAATATGGTTGTCATTCATGTCATTAAACTCCATATCTTGAACAGTATCAAATTCAACAGCAAATATATGATTGGTGAAATTCCCATTGTCGGTTGCATTCACCAAGCCCAGATACTGACGAGACAGGGCTCCCGGGATAGTTTTGGTGCGGGAAATGGCGAAGGCCATTCCATGCCCACCAAGAGTTGCAAACTCGGGAACCATTGCAAAAGCAAAAGCAGTAGAAAAGGAGAAGACTTTACCGGTGGTTTTGTTCTTGAATTGAATTGAATTTGACTGGAAGGCGTGAGCGAGTAATTTCCCAGTATCATTAGTGAGCCTCAGGATGCCATTATGTTCAATATCAGCGGCACCGGTAAGGGTAATGTTTTGACCCACCTGCTTAAATCCTTCGTAGAAGAACTCATCAGACTGAGAAAACACAGTTCTTGAACGAAAAAGCAGCACCAACGAACACAGAATCAGTATCAATCTTTTGGCCATCACATGAGCTATAAACCTAAGGTTAAACATGAGTTACAGTTTAGATTGAAGGATTCAGTGGTTTATGTCTGATTCCTGACAAAGTGTGTGGTACATTGTTTTTGGGTGGGCATTGTTTTGCTTGGTGGGTACTTGTTTTGGTTTGGTGGAGAAGCAGAGACGAAGCAGATTAGAGAGCAAATACGCTCGAAGTACTGTTAAAAAAAGAGAGGAAAAAATAAAACCCCCAAAAAAAGAAATTTGTGGAAAAAGAAAAATTGAAGGTCGCACTGTGAGATGTAAGGGTAATTTAATTTCGGAAAATGATATATACAGTGAATAAAAATAGTGACAAAATATAGTGACTGATGTGGATTAAACATATCTTAATTTCTTGTTACTTTCCCGTTGAAGTTTTATTTTTTCCTAAAGTTATATTTTTATCCGTAATTAATAAATATACATGTTTAATAAGTGGATGGTGTATTTGTCTTTTTATTTATTAATCACATCTCTTAATTTCTTGTTACTTTCCCGTTGAAGTTTTATTTTTTCCTAAAATTATATTTTTATCTGTAATTAATAAATATACATGTTTAGTAAGTGGATGGTGTATTTGTCTTTTTATTTGTCACTATATATATTCACCGTACTTAGCCACTGGATGTATCATTACTGTTTTATTTCAGTCATAGGCGCTGAAATCTAAGGGCAATTTTTCACAATAAATTATATTATCTCCGTCCCAAAAAAATAATTCACATTGAGTTTTTATATTTGTAAAAATAGTACAAAAAATTCAATGTGTATTTTTTTAGAGGGAAGGGAGTAATAAACTTAAATACTAAACTTTGTTATTCTCAGATTCAAGTTTGATGGAGAATTGTGAGAATAAGTTATCATTCCTTTCTGTGATTGACGACAAAATTTGCCTGCTAACTAAGTTGATATCCATTGTTAGCCATGGGTTTAGTCGTTTAGATCTTTTCTAGATTTCATTTGTTTGACTGTGTGAATAACCATGTGTGTTTGTTCGATCCCCTGAAATGGTGTATGTGTTTGACAGATTACTATCTGTTTCCAAAAAAAAAAAAAAAAAACCACATACTTTGAGATTTGTACAAAAGAATATTTATCGAGTTTTGGAAATATAAATTTCAAAATTTAGACTATTTTTTTAGGACATAAAAAAGTAGTATTATTTTTAGTATAAATTTTAAAATATAATTTTTTTGGGATATAAATGTGAATTTATTTTGACAATTTATCCAGTATACCCAGGAGCACCATGCTCCTCTCCTATTTTTTGCATTAGGAGTTCATACTGTACTTTTCATTAATCTTTTTATAATTTGTAGGTTTAGTTTCTGTGACTTTTTTTTACTCCTTTAAAAAACATTTATAATCTTTAAATGAGTATATCTCTCAATCTGTGAAAAAATTGTGAACGAATTTTATATAAAATTTATAGTATTCGTCGAGATCTATCCAACAAGATCCATATCAAATATTTTTTTCCGGCTTAAAAATGATTAAATTCTGATGGACAGAATAAAGGTGGATATCCAGTTTTACAAGATGGATAACCAAGTTATTTTAAATTGGTTATCCATTGTGTTCATGCTGATTATCCAACCAGTTTGAACTGGTTATCCATTTTATTTGTACTGTTTATCCATTCATTTTGTATGACTATCCAACTTGTTTGTAACAGATATCCCATTTGTTTGTACTGGATATCCATTTGGTTTGTACTCGATATCCAACTTGTTTGTACTGGATATCCATCATTTGGTTTGTATGCATATTCAACTTGTTTTGTAGTTGTAACCCAACGGGTTTGTACACATAACCAACTTGTTTGTATGCGCTGGATATTTATCCAACTTGTTTGTACTGGATATCCGTCCATTTGGTTTTTATGCATATCCAACTTATGCGTACTGGTTATCCAACGGATTTATATGCCTATCCAAATTATTTGTACTGGTAATCCAATAATTTTTTTTTGTTTGGAAAAAATCATTGTTCAATATGCTAATACTGGTTATCCATTTTGTTTATACCACTTATCCAATCACCATTTTTTACTTTGAAACACAGTTATCCAATGTGTTCGCAGTGATTATCCAATCGCTTTGTATTAGTTATCCAGTTATTTTTACCGCTAGTCTAAATAAGTTTGTATTGCTTGTCCAATCATTTTTTTTTCTTTTGAGAAAATGCTTGTCCAATTAATTTGTTCGTACTGATTATCCTACCTCGTGCTATTGTTTCTCCAGTTATTTTTTTTTATTTTTATGAAAATAAATATCCGATATGTTTGTACTTGTTATTCAACTAATTGGTACTGCTTATCCAATCTATTTTTTTTCTTAAAATGGTTATCCATTATGTTCATACTGATTATCCGACCGGTTTGAACTGATAATCCATTTCGTTTGTACTAGTTATCCAATCTTTTTTTTTCTTTAGAAAAAATCATTGTTCAATGTGTTAATATTGATTATCCAACTGCTTGATATAGATTATCCAACCATTTTTTTCTCTACTCTTTGCGGAATTCCTTGTCCAATTTTTTGTACTGAGTATCCAACCGTTTTGTATTGGTTATCCAATCATTTTCACTGATTATCCAAACATAAATTCTTTTCTTTTTTTTCTTTTGAGAAAATATATGTCCAATGTGTTCATACTGATTATCCAACTTTTTAGTGATAGTTATCCAACTTTTTTTTCCTTTGCTCTTTTATGAAAATGATTGCCTAATTTTTTTGTTCTGATTATCCAACCAGTTTGTATAGCTTATCCAATTATTTTCAATGGTTATCCAAGTGATTGTAACGCTTATTCAAATATTTTATTATTATTTTTTTTGAAGAGGAGTGAATGTCATAAATATGATTGGATAACCAGTACAAACAAAATGGATAATCAGTCCAAACCGGTTGGATAATCAGTATGAACACAACGGATAACCATTTTTCAGAAAAAAAAAAACACATTTCTTCAAATCTGCCCGTAAAATTTAAACACATTTAAAGTTCAAAAAAAAATTCAATATTAATCTTATGAGATAGATCTCATCGAATACTATAAATTTCATATATAATTCTTTTTCTAATTCTTTACGGTTTGAAAGATATAAATTTTACTAGAAAATATCAATATAAAATAATCACTTATCATCTTTTTTAACTGGATATCCACCTTAATTATGACTATCAAAATTTGATCATTTTTAAGCTCGAGAAAAATATTCGATATGGATCTCGTTAGATAGATATCGACGAGAACAATAAATTTCGTGTGTAACACATTTTCTAATTCTTTACGGATTGAGAGTTATGCTCGTTTAAAAATTAGAGATCTTTTTTTGGAAGAAAAAGAAAAAAGTAACAAGGATTAAATTTACAAAATATAGAAAAAATTGAGAAAAAAATATAATAAGTATTAAAAATGTAAAACAAAAAAAATAGGAGAGGATGTACATGATCACACCTATACTGGATGGAGACTCCTTATTTTTAACAGAGCAATAGTAAGGGACAACCCTTAATGGGCCGTGTCAATAGTTGTCAAGAGAGTCACTAGACTTTAAACGTGCATAAATTGTGGCATCACATTGACCTCAAAATATGCAAAAAAAATTTACTACAGTGTAGTGTATGTAAACAAGTGTAAATTATAAAGTTATTTTTTATTTTGATGAATCCATATGTGTATTCAGAATATTTTTATTATAAAAAAATTGAAGTTTAGTCATAAACTTTGGGATAGTAGTATTTTATAAGTTACTTCTTCTGATCCTTAATATAAGACATTTTAATTTGTCTTAGTTTACACGTAATACATATTTTTAATCGACAAAAAAACCTTACAATATTTCATAACAATAAAAAAAACACAACGAATATGAAAATACATTTTTAAGGTTTTTTCGTCAATTAAAAATGGGTATTATGTGAAACTTAAAACAAATCAAAATGCCTAAAAAATGCATTTTCACATCCGTTGTGTTTTCTTGTTTGTTCTGAAAAAATGTGTGAAATCTATGACAAATTAAGATATTTTATATTAAAGATCGGAAGGAGTATATCAACAAACTCTATACTTCTCATAACATTATTTTGTAAACGAGCCCGAGATTCTATTAATGGGGAGTATGTTATCGAAATGAACTGAGGAATTGCATGGTCTATTTCTCGCCGGGGTACATAATAACACCGTCGTTTTCTGTAGTAGATCTTTGTGGTCGTGTTTTGTAGCCATAAATTATTGAGATTTTGGTGGGTCTAATCCTTCATATGTTGTCCCCAAAGAGTCCAAACAAATTCTTCTTCCTTTTGTGCCACCCGCAATAAGACGGTGATCATCACTACAGCTGTACTGCATTATAGTATGTCATTGATAATTACAACTGAGAAGGTGATCATCAGATGTGTATATTTGTGTTCAGAAGCAGTAGAATCATTCACCGATTATTAATTTATCATTATTTAAAAGTCAAATCCCTCATTCTTTAATTATTATTCGCATCGATATAGGTTGGTTCTCCTAATTAATGGCCAATGTTACATAGTACATGAGAAGGTTTGACTAATCCTACGACAAAACCCATCTTTTTCTTTGAAGTTTTAATTTTTCCTTCCTTTTCATAGGGACAATAAAAGAGAGAAAAAAAATCTAAAATTTTAATTTAAAAGATATCCCGGATGAATAATATCGGGTTCCAATTTAAATTTTAATCCAACCACAGTAAGCTTTCAGGAAGTAATAATAATTAAAGATGTTAGGTAATTCGACACAAACTTTGGTTCATGCTTCAAATTCTTTAGTCCAGTCCAGATTTTAGTTTTTCTCTTCGATATGTCTATTTGAACTTTGCTTTTCAGTGATTTTTTTTAATATATACTCCCTCCGTCCCAAAATTATTGTCCACTTTGATATTTCACTTTTAGTACAATTTGAATTAAAACTGAGAATTTAAACTGGACAATAATTATAGGACAGAAGGAGTATTTTTTTTTTGTCTGAGGCACTATGCTTTT